GACATAATTAACGGCAAAAAGGGGCAGAAGCCAATTTCCAGCCACTTTACCCATAGGATTTTAAGGTAATTTAGTTGGTATGTATTTGATTTGAAAGTGTCTAGATGTGTATGTTAACAGAATTCTCTAATAAAATGTTTCCGTTGATTTTTGATCGTAGAACGGTTCTCTTGTTCATTGAGCCAAAGCAGTGGCAATAACAGTCAAGAGGGGAAAGGATAAACACGCGATAGTCTTACCTTAACTTCAGGTAGATAAAATTATAGGGAATGAAGCTGGAAATTACAGCTAAATTGGGTGATCACTCTGTCATCGTGTGAAGAGAAATATATGTTATCGGTGTAGCTCAAGCCTCAGTTCTCGGCAGTGGAGCATTCAGCCACGGAAATACCCAGAAAATGGATAGGGTGCACGACATACCGTACGCAATAGCGAAGGAAATAGCTAGAGGCGCAGACACGTGTTCCGTCGATATTTTGCAGTTGTACTGCACAGCTTTGATCGGTTTAGCTCATTAGTGGGTTCCGCGGCGTCCCTCCCCTGCTTTTCTGGTAGATACTCCAGTTTCGAAATTGCGGCTTTTAAATTCCTCAGAAAGTAATCGCTATCCTGGAGCAGATCGATCTATTCGAGAGTTATAGGCACAGATTGAAGTTTGATATGGATATTTAAGCCGAGGTCTAACAGCCAAGGCGGAATAACCTTGTAATATTCCTAAACTATCAACAGGCAACAAGTCGCATATGCATAGGTAGCACGACATACCATATTTGGCGGCAGAGGTACTGTAAAGTCTGGTTCATCGTGCTACCTCTGCATATACCACTGGTTGCCTGTTGGCAGTTTATGAACAATAAGCTGTTATTCCGCTATGGCTGTAGGACTTCGACCCAAATATCCAAATCAAATTTCAGTTTGAGCCTGTATGTCTCAAATTTACTGATCTATTCCAAGCCAGCGATTAATTTCTGAGGAAATGGAAAAATCCTCAATACTCAGAACAATCACGAAGAATGGAGGCCTACCAGAGCCAAGGCATATAACACTGTCTTCTAAGAAAATCCTTTCTGTAGCACTTTCCGTTTAGATTGAAGTCGAGAGTTCATAATCTCTGATTTTAAAGGTCTTTACTAAATTATATTTGTGCTTAGTCTTTTCGGAGAGCCGTGAAATGTATTTTGGTACTGTAACAATCTAACGTTTTTCATAGATATTTTGGCAAATAAAATTAGAATTTTGCCGTAATCCATCTTGATGTTCCGCAGAATTCTAGAAACGAAAGTCTGCATTGCCTGATGAGAAACAAATATTCAGTGAGGAGTTTTGTCATCCATACTGACCCAACTGTGAAAAACTCGGCGCCTCGGTGGGATTCGAACCCACGCAGTAAGAGGAAGGCTTTAGTACAGCCCACGCTCTAAGCATTTGAGCTACGAGGCCCCGCCGGACGACTCGAGTTTAATCACATTTGGGTCAAGTTACGGACAGACTTCTCTTTTCCACCGTCAGTGTAATGGATTTTGCAGACTTTTCTATGATATTCTTGGCAATAAATTTGTTTGGATACCCGTCCCCACAGAGTATGTGCTGGATCTTTCTAAGTTCCTCACTAATGCGGTTTCTTAACAGATTTTTCTAGTCCACTGCAACATAAGCCGGACTATATTACGTTTCTTTTGAAGTGGTGCGAAACTGTAGAAGTTCTTGTATTGACTAGACCAATTGTCTTCCCACAGACACTTCTTCTCACGGTGCCATCAGCTCTTCTGTTTGGAACGACCTTTAAGAAAGAGAGCGAAATGCCATTTTACCCCCACCAAAAATTTGATCGATGATTGTGACGGATTTACGACTTCCTAGAAGGTTGCTTTGTCAGTTTCCTCAGTAGGGGCCATCATGTTTTAACCTATCGATCTGGTCATCTAGTTGTAATTTCTCCGACTTGTACCTGAAGATATCGGCTAAAATAGGACTAATAGGCAAGCCCACAGTAGCGTGTCAGTTTGTTTATATAGCTGCTTTTCAAAAAACAGCATTTTCGTTACATTTTCTGCGGGGCGCTTGTCAGTATTCCTATTTGCTGCTGATTGGTCCATAGGTATTCGCACGAGTAATCGACTGCTTCTGCGACTGGGGTATTTGTGGAGAGTGACGAGACGTCTTGAAAAAAAACCATCATTCAGTTTGTGTTCAGGTCTCTGACGTCGTCACGGGTTCGAAGGTATCCCGTTACCTATGTGGTGTTAATCGATTCTGTACAGGCTCTGCTAATCACTTAGCTATTGTATAATATGGAGAGTTGTGCATTTCCGAAATCGGTCGAACTGGCAGGCAAGCCATACAACTGAAGGATGTGCGCGTTGACTGGTCAGGAGTCTTTAAGGTCACGGTTGCTTAGAAACCTCCCCTGTGGAGCTTTTGCAGGCAGTCAGTTTTGCCCCTACTTCATCCATAAAACCCCATTCCTTGTCTACTTTGGTGACTTTCTGTTGGTCTGACAAAATGGGCCGCATCTTCGTTACGTAGTCCGATCTGTTCATTATAACGACGCCTGCTCTTTTATCAGACCTCGTTGCCATAATATTTTCGTTCACTCGAAGCTGTTTTAAATTCTCTGTATGCAGTTGTCGGCAGTCCCGGACTTGTTGACCCTTTCTTTAAGTACTGATAACTTCAATTTACCAGTGTTTACTTAATGTTGAGCTCTGTCTTTGGAAACTGGCCTGAGATCGTACGTTCCAGAGATTCCCAAACTGGGTTCCTAATTCTAAGTAAATAACAAAGATACGGTAAATGCTGAACTTAGAATTAAGGGATAAAGCATTAAGCGATGTTTTCTCGACTGTTATGCACAAATTTTTTTTACGTACCACTCTAGATCTTCTGGAAACCCTGATTGTGGTTTCATTTCATTTGCCCTCTAAAGAAACGACAATATCGCCGAGCCCACACGTTTTATACATACGGACTTACTTCAGGTGCCACAGCGCCCTGCAGTAGAGACGACCGTCATCAGGTCGCCGAAGCCGGCCCTTTGCGTGCGGAAATATCCGATACAAGCTTCACGGTTACCGTGGCCCTAGGTCGGTTAACTACGTACACTCCTCTAAGCCATCCCCCTTCCCCTAACCCTCACTACTTGATAATTCACTGTCTCTTGCTACTTTTAACGTCTATTTCTACACCCCATTTTTACAGAAGGCGAACTGAAATCGACTCTTTTACATTCACATATCTTAATGGCACCTCGTCCCCATTTAAATGTACCGGCCTAATGAGAATTTATCAAAAGCCACGTATACTCGACAAATGGTCCTCTGAATGTATCTATGAGAATTATCGAAACACTACGTCAATAAATATGAAGTGCTCAATAACTGAGGAATCATTCGTAACTTGAGGAAGCGTTCCGTCCACTAAATCGATCATGACATTTCTGATACAAACAACGTGAAAGAGCATAATGCCATTCGTACGCATGGTCAACTCAGCCTTTTACACGCTGAAAAAATCAGTTCCCCTAAGTGATTCAGTACAATCTAGGAGCTTTTGCTTGTGCACGATTAAGATATAATAATTTCGTGCGTTTCTTTGTCGTCCACTTTTAACGACAGCAAAAAAAACTTGGTGATATAATCAGATGCAAAATGTGAGTGGAGAGACTTTGACTGGCCCTTCAGCTCCGAAGAAGGACAGAGGAAATACTCAACTGGATTTGACGAAGGAGAGAAAGAGCTTTCCAGAGGATGAGTGGACGGGATTCCAGAGGACAAAGAGGCGTTCCAGCACATCCTGAGAAAAAAAGAAATGGGTAGGATCGTTGGACTGCTATCCATTATATTTCAGTTTTTTGAAGAATGGAAGAGTGTAATTCTTATCCTGATCTGTTGCACAAATTCATGGATGGACGGCGAAAATTACCGTCCTGTCAGTTTAACAGGCGTCTAGTGTAAAATACTGGAACACATTATATGGAGATGCCTTGTATAGTAGCTAGATAGAAGCATCGTACTTTGTGATGTCCTCCATGGCCTTCATGGTGAACGCATGCGCCTTAAGAGTATTCTTTGCTCTCAAGAGGAATAAGCAAAGCTCACAGAAGGGAAATCAAATAGATGCTGGATTTTGTTCTTCAGAAAGGTATTTGATAGCGTCCACACCGAATCAGGAAATAACACGTTGAGACAAATTATCAAATTGGACCGAGTGTTTCCTCTTCTCTAGAGTACCAACCAAATATATTTCGCAGAGTGAGTCAAAGGCTATGAGGGAACTGAGCAGGGACGACAGCATTATAATTCTACCTGCTGACAAGGGACGATCAACCGTCATGATGAATAGAGAAGACTACAATGAAAAAGCTAAAGCCCTTCTTGATGACAGAGAATTTTACAGACCAGCACAGATGGCACAAGCCAAATCAGTGGCAGATCGGCTGAGTAAACTACTTAGAGACTACCGACATAAAAATGTGATCACGGAGAATGAATGGCACCGAATGAAGGCAAATGACACCGCTCTGGCCCGATTCTATGGTCTGCCAAAAATCCACTCAGTCGTGGAGGCGACATCCCTGCAACTCTTCAATAAACGCTTGGATGCTTACTTGTGTCCCCTGTTTTCCCTCGACAGTCTGAATCTGAGCTAAATACCCCGGCTCCCCACAGATTTTTTCTCTGAGACAATGCTACTCAAATGAATCAAGTACTACTTATACAGCGAATATTTTCATTGTTCCTGTACAGTTGTTTCTAACCAGCTGACATGTAATCAATAGGATTTTCAAAGGCTTTGCCTATCATCTTATCAAATAAACTGAAATAAACTGAAAAATGTTCCACTTCGGCCAATTGTTGCCCTAAAAATCAGCACCACCTACAATTAGGCAAAGTGGATGTACCCAAAACTGAAGTTCCTCCAAGGCAATTCGACTACCTCAGTTCGATCAGCCTCTCAATTCCTCTCAATTCCGAGGTCGGAGAATTCAATCGGACGAAATCATGGTCTCCTTCGATGTGACGTCGCTATTCACATCCATCCCACCAAACGTGGCCCGCGAAGTCTTGCGCAAGAGGCTTGAAGAGGCGTACGATAAGACTCAGAATGCCCTCAAAATTGAACACCTCATGAGGCTGCTTGAATTTTGCCAACAAACTTTCTTCACTTTTGCGGGAGATACCTATGAACAAATCAAGGGAACCCCCATGGGCTCACCGGTCTCCGGTTTGGTGGCAGAACTGGTCCTACAGGAGTTGGAAAAGATTGCCTCCCTCCAATATGAACCGGTGTTTTGACATCGTTACGTTGACGACACGTTCGTCATAGTAAAGAAAGACGTGCTGCAACATTTCCACAGCCTGCTCAACGCAGTCTTCCCGGATATAAAATTCACGATGGAAGAAGAACAGGAGCAGCAGTTGCCCTTCCTGGATGTGCTCGTCAGACGAAACCTTAACGGTGAACTTCAAACGACGGTTTATAGGAAGGCGACGAGCACCACACAGCTTCTCAGTTTCCACAGCAACCATCCGGTGGCTCACAAACGAAGCTGTGTGAAGACGCTCTTCAAACGGGTCAAAACTCATTGCAGCAAACCGGAGGACAGAGCGCGTGAGGCCCGTTATCTCCGCGACCAGTTTGTGCAAAATGACTATCCGGGGACATTCATAAGTCGCTGCCTACGCGGTCGCCACCAGAGAACTCGAACATCAACGCCACCGACGATATGAAATTCTCTGCCATACATCAAGGGTGTTTCAGAAGCGACCGAGCGCATTGTTGCGGAGCAAGGTGTTGGAATTGCACACCGCCCCAAAGCCACCATGCGCAATAGGGTCATGAAAATCAAAGACCGGTTAAAACCTGAAGAGCGATCTTGAGTTGTGTATCACGTTCCGTGTCAACATTGTCCCTGTAATTACACAGGACAGACTGGACGCATGCTCGGATCGCGCATATACGAACATAAGCTGGCTGTGCGGCGAGGCGACGCATTATCACAAGTGGCCGCCCATATCTACGAAATGGGTCACGATTTTAACTTCACAGCCGCCAAAATAGTCGCCACGCTGGAAACAAAACAGGCCGAGAATTGATTGAAGCCTGGGCCTCGGATGAGAACTCGGTCAATCGATTTATCGATCTGGCGCCGGCGTACAGAGCCCTGCGTAGTTACCTCCAGTCGTGCAACGTCGGTCGATGATTGGGCCTACGTGACTTATAACTGCCGCCTGGCCTGTTTCTGCCACTACCTCTGACGATGGACTCCTGTACGAGTCTGAAAGCTCAGGATAATAAACGAAATGATCTGGTGCTCGACTCTTCCTCTTCACTTATGCATACACCTGGAACTCGAAATTTTGCCTTCACAGAGAGTTGTCTTTGGCGATTCTATCTCCGAATGGATGAGGGTTATAAGCGGTGTCCCACAGGGTCCGGATTAAGATCCACGCGTTTTCTTGAATTTTGTGAATGACGACACCATAAAATTGGAATTTGAAACTGCTATGTTCGTCATATTGGCCAAACTCAACTATGCCGACGAGTCACAAAGTTGCAGTCGGATATCGACAAAATGACTGGCTTCAAAAGTTTAATTTATTCAAATATGTGGTCGTTCGCTTCAACACTGGTCGAAAAGTATCTCCAAACACACTTGCAGGTAATCAACAGGACTGCATTAACAGCTGTAGAAACGCACAACGATTTGGGCTGGTGGAAGACCGCGAATCTGATGCCGTTAGAATACTGATAGGGTGGTCGCCGGGGCGATTATTACGATGCACTGAATTAGGCGTGCGTCTAAAATATTTCCTCTAGAACTCTTTAATAGATCTTTGGTGTGTTCGTGAGGACCCAATTGGATTACGGAATGCCAACCTGGACACCATGAATGACGAAAGATATTGACTCTCTCAAACAAGCTGAATGCAAAAAAACGAAAATGATCGTTGGTCTTAAATATTTATCCTACCAGGATAGGCTGGAAAAGCTTGATTTATATCTCTCAGCTTATAGACTATTAGGATGTGACCTGCGCTGGATATTCCGAATTATGCGGGGTCATGCATGCTTGGATGACCACGCAGACGGTCCGTCTCAGTCAATTCGAAGAATTTGTCACAGTCTAGGGCGTACTCACGGTCTCTGAATATCCTGTAGGTTTGAATGAGCTCGCCGCGCAGGTGCCTGTAATTAATAGGAGACAGATTTAGTTCAGCTCGTCTGGTTTCGTGAGGCAGACGATCAAGGTTCTTGGTCATCTTTGTGACCATCTCCCGTTCTCTTCCCAGCTATTGATAATCCTTCTTGAAGCACGGTCGATAGACCTGGACTACATATTCCAAGCGAGCTCGAACGAATGCTCCGTAGGTTTTTCCGAACAGCTCCTTATCGATCTGCACAAATCCTCGTCTCAACGTAAATAACACTCGTATAACCCGTTTGGCTGCCCTTAGACGCTGTGCCTATAGTTAAAGTGATTAGGTCATTAGGATACCGAGTCTTTCTGTTAATCAATATTTGAAAGGGGTTGCTCATCAAGAAGATATTGGATGGAATCATTTTCCTCACTGGTCCTTCCGGTTCAGAGTCTCAGGACTGCACATTTGTCCACATTGTAATTGAGGAGCCAACGAAGTGACCAACTGCTCAGCCGGTTAACACTGTCTTGAAGCGCTAACCTGTCTGCGTCAGATCCGATGGCTCTCCGCAGTTTAACATCGTCAGCAAACATGACGGCGTTGCATCCCCAGTCATCGTCGCGGTCGTTATTGTAAACTAGGAATAGCAACGGCCCTAAGACTAAGACCTGGGGAACACCAATTAAAATGCGGGTAGGAGTTTGCTCCGAAGAATCAACACACACGGTTTGTAATCTCCTTGCAAGAAAGTCTGCGATCCATGTCAGCAGTATTCCGCTTATTCTAATTCCGGACAGTTTGTAGATCAGGCAGTTATATGGGACGCTTTCGAACGCCTTGTTGAAATCACTGTAGATGATATCGACCCTACCATCATCGTCCATCATCGTTCATATCCATTGCTCGGTCGAGAGCAATAAACTGAAAAGGCCTACGCGATTCTGTCTGAAGCCGTGCTGCAGCTCTGAGGGTAAATGCTTCTGCCCCAAGAACTTCATTGGTGATTTCTTAACTATGGCTTCAATTATTTAACAGTAGTTGCGAGTGAGACTAACGGGCTTGTAATTGCTAACTGTAATGCGAGTCTCATCCTTGTATATTAGGCATATATTTGCTATCTTCCATTCAGACGACAGACTCTCCAATTCGAATGGTGAAGGGAAGATGTGCGCCAGTGATTCGGAGAGTTCGTTTGTCCATTCTTTCAAGAATGTGGCCGGTATATTGTCTGGGCCCCATGACTTTTCTTCTTTGGGATTCTGTAGCTCACTTTACATGAGATATGTCGAGAAGAGTATGCATTTAATCACAGAACCGGCGGCCAAAACAGCAATGCTAACAATGTGATTCTGAAACTCTATTTCCCTAGTGTTAGGAGTGCCTACACCCCTAAAAACAAGGGCTGGTCAGTAAATGGAGGCCACATGCGTTTTCCCTAGCACCCTGTAGGCATGCTGGCGGGATCCATCGAGCTTGCTTGGTCCGTGTATGCGAGAAATCGATCAGGTCATCCAGAATTTTATTGTCGGAGTACATTGGACATAATGAAGTCAAACCCCAGTAGGATGTTATAAATACGCGTCGTTTTTCCAGTTTCCTATTCACAGTTTTCTAGTAACCTTTTTCGTGACAGGCTGTGTTTTCTTTCTCTGCCGCGTCGGCACTGGGAATAAAAGTTCAGTGCGCATACGCTGCGCGCAATGTCTATGTACCAGGCCGAGCCATAACACCTAGTGAATACCGAGGCAAAGAACCGTTCGAAGTGTTCGGCTTTCTCGCTGTTTTCGGAGTATCGGCGAAACATTCGTGTCTGAGATTTTAGCGGGTACCTGTGATGTTATTATGGTATCTTGTGGCGCGGATATTTGTTACTAGCTGCCTGTTGGCAGTCAATGAATGTTAGTTGGTTATCCCGTTGACGTAAATGGAGTTCAGCTAAAATACTCATACACCACATTTCTGTCTGCGCCTATAGACCTTAGTCTATTCAATCTACTCCAAGTTTGCAGTCAGTTTATAAGGAAATTAAGCAGCCAGGGTTTCAACACCGCTTTCATCCTTTATTACAGTGACCGGGTCCTCATTTTTTAGTCGACTTTTAATATAGTGCACTAAAATTTTGGCTTTTGTTTAGCTGGAAAATGCACAAGATTTTGGATTTAAAACCAACGGACAGCTGAGAAGCAACACCACTAACTAATTACGACAGTGGATAACGACCAAGAAGTAGTTATTACAAAAGAGTTCAAGCTGTTTTCGATAGACTGGGGTAATCTAACTGTCGGAGGTAGTCATGGGCCTGTCGAAATGTAGAGTCGATGCAAGAGTTTTCAGTGGTCAACGCCACAAAAGTGTCCAAATCACCATCAGGTAAGACGGGCTACAATGGGCAAGCCCTATTGGTGCTCAAGAGCACACAGAACGCTCAGAATTGTGGCTCTTCCTTACAGCCTTTGAACGGCTTGTTTGGACAAAATTAACTTAGACATCAATACTTTTTGCCTTAATAACTATTTTGTACCAGATTTCTCACAATTTTTACTAGATAGCTATCTTGTACACATTATTTCTTTTACAAAAAATTTAATAACCAACAACCGCATTACTTGTCTTTATCTCTACTGCTCACGGAATAGTAGATTAGCGTTATGGGCAGGAAAATAGGGAACCAGCTTAAGAGTGGGATATTTGAGAAAAAAGGGGGGTTCTGCTCGGGGACGACGCAAGATTAGAATTTTCTGCACAGATTCTGTGCCGAACCTCTGCGCCGATTCTGAACAGACTTGAGTGACAACCTAGACGCAGATACTGCGTAGATAATTCTTAACCTCTGCTTAGATTCTGCCAAATTCTGAGCAGAAATGTTATTTGGGAAAATATTTATTGCAAGCTGCTTCTTTAGGCGTGTGGCGCATCAGTGTCCGCCTTTGAGGTTCTAGGCCCACCGATGCGAGTGGGTGATGTTGCTGTACCTGAGATGTGTCTACATGCAGTCCACCAGCAAAGGTACAGCGCTGATTGCTTACGATCACTCGCGAGTCTAATGCCCAGTCGCGCACGACCACAGCAACGAAATAACGGGAAGCGTAAGGCAAGCAGAAAGACTCCATGACGACGCGATGGCGATGATGATTGCGGATTTCAACAGATCC